AAGAGTGCCACCTACTGATCTGTAATTACCTGTCTGTAATTATTTTCTCCCTTGAGGTTTTGGACAAAATAGGTAGCAAAGTTAATCTAAATCTGGTAATAGCGTTGATGCTAGCAGATCTTAAGGGGATTTGGGTAGGGAAGAAGCTTTAGAATAACTATATTAATAAAAATAAGTCCCACAATCCCTCAAAATTAATTTCATTTATTCTGATAGCAAACTTTAAAAAAACTAAACCAGTTTACTTATTACATATACTTATTTTCTTTTTCCAGATGAATAATATTTATGTCCTAAACTTACAAACGTAATCTGAATTTGTGATCCTGACTTTTAGGAAGAAAGGAAGTATTCTGACAGCTTTACAATTCTTTGTTATACAAGACCTCATGAATCTTTAATAACTTCTGGTCTAATATTAACATGCCTTGATTTTTCCTGTAAGGGAGGTTCTTAAACATCTAAATAAAAAAATAAAAGCTAGCTTTCATTCTTGCTTACTTCCAGGAGCATCTACCTTGGTCACTTTATTCCAAGTAATTTTAACTACAAATTGTTACTTAAGAAATTTATCTTTGGAATGATGTTAGAGTTTAAATTCATGAAGGATCAAGTAGAGAAAAGGAATGTAGACTTGTTGCTAGATAAAGCAGGTTTTGTATGATGCTTCCACCTGTCTGAAGGGTGTGATATCTAAAAATGCTAGAAAAACAGCAGCACTGTACCACCTCTTAAAGAATTTGCTATTTTGGATGTTAAATCAACTTTTTAAAAACCTGTTAGTAGAAATAAGTTCAGGTATACTGCTTTTTTTTCTACTGCATTCATTTTATATACTGCTATTGTGTTTCCTTAATTTTGATTTAATAGGTATACGTTACACTCTAATTTCAAATGCTCTTATCAGCTAGTTGTAGTTTTCATACCATAGAATTTCATGCAAACTGAACATCTGGTAATGTTCAAATTGTAAAAATTACTTTGGCATGAGTATAGAAATGTTTTATTTATAAGTCAAGCCTTCCTTTAAGTCAAACATGAGCATGTCAGAAATACAATCCTGTTTTTGATAGAAAGCCTTGAAGGGTCTATATGTTCACTTTCTTTTTGTTAAAATCAACATGAATTCTTTTCCTTAGAAAATCTTTTTGACCAACAGTAATTTTCAAAAGAAAAACTCAGGGGCAAAAGAGGAGAAACTAGGGAACGTCTGTAATACCCTCAACAATAAAAATAAATAAATAAAAAAAGAAAAACTCAAAACAAGAGGCATACTTAAAGGGCATTAAAAGTAAACCATAATAACCATGGTAAAAACAGAGCAAAAAGAATATTAACAAATGTAAAAACTGGTGAAACCTGAATAGGTTCTATACTTTAATTAACAATGTTATCCAGGGTTAATTTCATAATTTTGATAAAATGTTGTATAGTTATATAAGATGTTAACATAAGGGGAAGTAAAGGATATATAGGAACTCTCTGTATTATTTTTGCAATTCTTCTATAGATCTAAAAGTATCTCAAGATTTAAAAAATTGCAAAAAACAAAAAAAACTAAACTTAAAAAATAAATATGCCTTCACTGCCAAAATTTCTTGATTTAATTCAAGACATAATTTTTAAAAACTCATTAGAAATCAATAATATACTGTTCACTTAACATTATAGTCACTTTATTGCTCTAGAAAACTTAGTTCTTGAAATCATCAGATTACATATATGGTGATAATGAGGCTAGCCACAAACACGTACACACACAAAATCAACTGTATATTATGAGGCTGCTTCTCTAACTTAGTAGAAAAATATTACAAAAAGAGCTGGTTATGGTTGAGCCATCAAATAGATATCACATTTCTATAGATCTGAAAGTTGAACAACAAAAAATCTGATGTTACTAATAAGTTACCAATGAATGTATTTGAAGAATCCATATTACATGCAGACAGAAGAAAATTGGTTACAAAAACCATTACATTATTCTGTACTAAATTTTTTGCAACATTTTACACATTTCCAATCATGTAACAGTAAAGATCAAAATAAATTTTATAGAGTTGATAGAAGCTCAACAAGTAGGATTTAACATATTACACAACTCAAGTCACAGTTGCATAATACATCTAATTCCCCCAATTTTATTTATCCAGCATGAAACTGAAATGTACACTATTCTCCCAAAATGCCTCCTCAGGCACCATTCCCAATCAATCACCTTACCCATAAACCTTTCCATTTAACCTTTCAATACGATTTTGCTGGGTATATAATCTACGGGATAGTCTTCATTATTATTTCGGAACAGACACTAAGTATCAGTGATATGATCTTCAGTTATATTCTTTTCAAAAGGTACCTGCACTGCCGCGACTGTCCATGAAAATTCAAGCCTAAGAAACAGAGAAAGTTGGTAGTCAAGAATCTGATCTAGGCAATTCTAAAACTATACTAATAACCTACGTGTCCACACTGTAAAAGGATTTCCTGTCTGAGAAATGTTACTCAATGGGTCTGAAAGGAAAGTTGTAGGACTACTGCTCTCTGATGTAAAATGGTTAGGTAATTCCAAATATTTACTTAATTGGCTAGTAAACTTATAGCTGAGCCTTTTAAAAAAATATTCAAATCCACAGAATTATGGAAATAAAATTTTAGAAGGTCATAGTGTAAGACACATACAGAACTCATCTTATGATGGCACATCCAAAATAAATCTGTCCTAACAAAGCAGCACAAAATCAATTTAATGACAATTTGAAACCAAATACAGTGGGAAATGCCTCTGTTAAAATCATCAACCAAAATTCATAAATGGCAAAAGAATACTGTCTCAAAATATACTGAATATGTAAATTTACCATAATGAACTAATGCCAGATATAAATAAATTCAGATACCAATTAGGTTGAAACAAATTTTAGAACTATTTTCACAAGAGAAATAAATGTACATGATAAAGGCACAGTAGCATCTAAAAAAAATGTGATACATTTATTACAAAACACAAACTTCCTTAACCATTAACAACACAACACAGAATTTTCTTGGAAACTTTTTTTTATAAAGGCTTGATTTAACATGCCAGGAAAATATTATTTTTCCGTTAAGATGCATTTATGTAAATTATGTAAGTTGAATTGAGGTCAGTTTCACACCTGGAATTCACAACCCCTGGCAGAAGTACCAGCTGCTAATAATGCTTACTTATATCATATATAACTTAGCTGGATATTAAACTACGCAACTGTTGGTGCCAATCTGCTTATAAAGGCAATGCTCTGGAGACAAAGTCTTCTCACAAACAGAGGGCAAGCAGGTTTCATTATTATATGTTCAACAATAATCCTCAATTCATTAAACAAGGTCCTGCAAGATAAAATAGTTTTCTTTCAGAAACACAAGGGAAGAAGCAACACAATGCAAGGCAAATGCTAATGAAGGAATTTCCCACAGCCATTAAAGAATTTGAAGAAGTAAAATAATAACTAGAATGCAATGCCCACTATTTCCCCTAGAAAACACAAAATAAAATTCTCAAATCAACACCTGTCCTTTTGGGGAGAAAAGTTCATTTAACAAAAGCATTTAATAAATGGCTACCTCTGAGGGCTGAGATTAGGGATGATTTGTATCTTTACAGTAGAATCCTATCATTTTCATACTTAGGCAAATTCAACTAGTTCTAAAAAAGAGAACAAGAAAGTGAAAATTATGTAACATGGGCAATCCCACCTACTATTTCCTTAAATAAACATGCTGTTTCCTGGAATAGGCACTTTATGGAGTTGTAGTGAAGTTTAAATGAGATAACACAGAAGATGTTCAATGGATATTAGTTCCCAGTTGGATCATTACACTGATCAAACTGGCACTTGTCTTCCTTCAGACTGAAGCCCAACTCCTTAATCGATCTAATGCCCTCCAGAATCTGGTCTCAATCAAATTTTCTTATTCATCCCCTGCCACTCTCTGCCACGACTCCCATGTTCCAGTTATGTTGCATGTTTGTGCCCAAAACAGGTTGAAGACTTGACTTTGCATTAATTGTGCTCGTTGCCTACAAAGTACTCTTTATTATACACGCTACACATCACACATATATTGTACAGGCTAGCAGACACAATATCATGTATCTTGTACCGAAATCGATCATCAACGGTAATAATTTTCACCTTATGTGCTGACTCATCCTGTATAAAGACAACTCCTGCTATACTTTTCTGTATCTTCCATGTTATTTTTATGGTTAGGAAAAAGCATTAAACTACTGCTCAAACAAACAAATGAAAAAGGAGGCCTGGCCGGGTGGCTCAGCTACTTAAGAGCATTGTCCATACACCAAAAGGTTGTGGATTCAATCCCTGGTCACGGTACATATGGGAGACTCCTGATAGATGTTTCTCCTCTCTCTCTCAAAAAAACAAACAAATCAATGAAAACATATCTTCAGGTGAGGATTTTTAAAAAGGGGGGATGTGATATGCCCTCACACAAAGACAAGAAGGAAATTTGGAAATATCCATGTGTGAGAGAAACACCAATTGGCTGCCTCCAGCATGCCCCTAACAAAAATGGAGCCCACAACACAGGCTGTGCCCTGACTGGGAATGGAACCAGAAACCTTTTGGTGCACGAGACAATACCCAACAACTGAGCTACACCAGCTAGGGCCAATTTCAGTTTGTTTATTTATTTATTTATTTTTTTAAAATATATTTTATTGATTTTTTACAGAGAGGAAAGGAGAGAGATAGAGTCAGAGGGCACATGCTGGGTTGTGGGCTCGGGCCCCAGTGTGGGGCGTGCAGGAGGCAGCCAATCAATGATGCTCTCTCATTGATGTTTGTCTTTCACTCTCCCTTTCTCTTTGGAATCAATAAAAGTATATTTTTTTAAAAAAAGAAAATGCAACCACTTTCTCACCAACCCTAGACAGTTCTAAGGCCTAGAGTTTAAATGTATAAAAACATTGTTTGCTTCTAAATTCTAACATAAAACAACTAACTTAACTCAGTGGTTGAGCTTTGACCTATGATGAACCAGGATATCATGGTTCAATTCCTGGTCAGGGCACATGCCCAAGTTGTGGGCTTACTCCCCAGTAGGGGATGTGCAAGAGGCAGCCAATCAATGATTCTCTCTCATCATTGATGTTTCTATCTCTTCCTCTCTGAAATCAATAAAAACATATATATTTAAAAAAGCAAAATAACTTAAACATTACGAATACTGTATTTCACAATACTCTTAACAAGTAAAACAGATTTGAACTAATCCCCAGCTTACCGACAATATGGATTTCTTCGAGAAGAGTATCGGAGAGTAAGAAATCTATAGTATATAAAAGGCTGGAGCAAACTTCCTTGACCGCTAAAAGAAACAAATACAGAGGTAATAAGTATACATCATTAATTCATATACATACTCTCAAAACCTAAAGGCAGTTTAAGTGGAGGATGTGTCTTTATTAATCAAACTAGAGGCCCTCTGAGCACCGGTGAGGCCCCTCAGCCTGGCCTTTGCCCTCTCGCAATCTGGGGTGCGGGTGAAGCAGACTTGGAGCCGACAGTGCCCCAGCAGCACCATGGCCGACTCCACAAGGAATCGGGCTCCCTCCTCTACTGGTTGGAGCATCTGCCCCCTGGTGGTCATTGCGTGTCATAGCTACCGGGCGAATGGTCGGATAGTTTCTTAGGCTTTCATATACATAGATGGTCATAGTAATACCTATCATATCTAAATCCATTATATCATTCCAGAATTATATTTAGGTTATACTATCTATTTTGGACCCAGCAACTTAAGCAATATGTGGTGATTCTGTTTTTTTCAGGGGAAACATAACTTAAAGGAATGGAACAGATGCCTTTAAGAGAAAATCTACAAAACTCTTACTACCTTGAAAAGAGAGTGTTAAAGAAAGGAATAACTGTCAGGTACATAAAAACCTCAGGCAACGAACATTAAAATATTTCATAAACCATGGTCTATTAAATATAAAATGCACCCAGCTTAAACTCAGCAAAATCAACTCAGGTATCTATGTTAGAGATAACACTGAGAAAAAAGTATACTAGTAAGCAGACAAATAAAAACATGTTTACTGCATCAATATTTGGAAAAGTAAATAGCTGGAAACAAATGTCCATGAATAAGGGAATGCAGAATAAAATGTTCCATGCTAACATGATGGAACACTACACAGCCACAAATAAGAACTCTATATGTCACCCTAACCGGTTTGGCTCAGTGGATAGAGCGTCGGCCTACAGACTCAAGGGTCCCAGGTTCGATTCCGGTCAAGGGCATGTACCTTGGTTGTGGGCACATCCCCAGTAGGGAGTGTGTAGGAGGCAGCTGTTCGATGTTTCTCTCTCATCGGTGTTTCTAACTCTCTATCCCTCTCCCCACCTCTCTGTAAAAAATCAATATATTAAAAAAAAAAAAGAACTCTGTATGTCAACACAAATAGGTCACAAAAATACACTGTATGAGTGAAAAAGGCAAGATGCAGACAATTGATGCATTATAATACTTTTGCCGTAATAAAAAAACTAAACAAATAAAATCCCTCACCCACAATATAATAATATACACTTTATACCCATCTGCAAAAGTGTTTTTAAAGACAACATACATGTACACATTATCAAACTCCATGTATCTGGGAAGGAGAGAACAGAATTGCTACTAAGATTCATAGTCAAACATAGTGTCCCAATACTTGTGAAACTAAAAATTGAAAAAGCAATAATCCTGACAGAAATGTAGTTTTAAAACTTAAATGCAAGAATATTAAAAAAAAAATTTAAATTAAATTAAAAAAAAAGAATATTGATGGAGTGGTCAATACTCTACTTTTCTTAAATTTTAAAAGGAAGACTTTCTTTATTCATTTATTATTTGTCTCTCTTACTCTTTCTCTCTCTCTCTCTTTTGCCTTACTTCCGCAATTAAGATAGAAACTATTGAGGTGGTAATAGGCAACAATTAATTCCAGATTTTTCTCTAGTACAAAGAAAAATCATCTTAAAAATAGAATGGGCTACACTTCCCAAGATTCTTTCAAAGGTAGTTATTCTGAAATTAACTTTCCAAATGTTAAATGATACATGACAAAGAATGATAAAAAGATATGTTCCCAGGTTTACTATAATGTCTCAGGTTCTCCACTATAAAGTGAAAAGAGAATTGCTAAGATCCATCTAGCTCTACATATCAGGATCTACTTCAACAGATTGAAACAGGATAAAATTTGAGTTAATATATTTATTATAGTCACTTAGTCATCAACCTCCTAAAACAAATGTATTTTCATTCTTACCTAAAAAGCATAAAAACTGTAGCAGGCATCAAGAGTATTTCATTACAAGCAATGAATTTCAGAATATTCTGTTGATTAGCGCTTAATTTATCCAAGAGGGATCTCAGCAGAGGTAAACTATTTGAACCCTTTGCCTAAAACATAAGAAAACAAACATTAAAAATAACAAAGCATTTCTGATCACTCAATTATTTTCTTTCTTTAGATAAATAGCATATTCAACAGGCCATACGAGCAAAAGACAAATATTTGGAAATGATGACATAAAATATAGAAACTATGTAAGGACAAAAGTTAGTGTATTTTCCTGCTTTGTTATATTTTATGTACTTGAAGATTTAAAAATAAAAACAACTTTAATACAAGCCTTTACATTTCTTAAGATTAGAAAAATGGTGGTTATTTCTCTCCAACCATAACAGAACCTGACTATCCAGTAATATAGTTAAAGTATCAGTGACGCCTTAGCTCACTAAAAGTAGCAATCACCGAGTCCAATTACTGCCGTGACCAAGGAACATTGGGGATAAAGAAAAAGGCCAACACAGGCAACTTTGGTATTTAATTCAAATTCCGGGGCATATGCAGTCAATCTGCCTAGCACACTTACATTGGGCTTAATGTTCCAACCCAAACATAAGAAATTTTAGTAAAGTAGCAGTTCAGAACATTAGAGTAAAAGAAATTCAGTACACTCTACTTGCCTGATATGTTAGAATTAAACACTGACAGAACAAGAGCTCTCTAACAACTTATCAAACCTAAAAGATTCAATTCCTTTAAATAATGAAGAGATTTCAACTTCAGAAATTCCTCTGGCAACTGGGGATACTTTTAAATGCAATATTTTATCTACAAAATATACTGTATTATGAAATATAAATAAAGTATTCCAAACTTAAAACTTTCAATCATTAAATAACTTAGGACAAGTTTGTAAGAATTAGAGGAGCTTTTTGTAACAAAAGTCAAAATGTCTTAGTGTTCAAATTCATACCAACTAGCTCAAATTCATGTCAGGAGTAAAAAAGAAAACAACCCCCCCCCCCCCAAATCCCTGCATATTTGTACTTACATCAAGAACCTTTTTTGTGTATGTGGCAGCATGAAGCAAAGAGAATAACAACACTGGGAAAATACTCACTGAAGAAAACAATTAAGGAAAACATTTTAAATTCATCAAGTACTTTGCAAAACAGGCTATTGTATTATGTCCAAATATTCACATCTGAAATGGCATCTGCTCAAATGAGTGCAGTGACAATTTTTTTCAGTGTTGCAAGGATTAAATATGTAAAATTCATATATATTGGCGAAATAGGTGCTCAAAAAATTTCACTTTCCTCCTATTCCTTTTAAGACTTATTATCTAAAAAGGTAGTATTTAGTTTTAAAGGTATATTTTATTGTGCTTCCATTACGTATAGTTGTATAAATCACTCAAAAACTCTTAAGAGCAGCACTGCTCAAAGCACAAACTACTGTCCTGAGAGATGATCCACAGGAGGAAAATAACAGAACAATTAAGTTTAGGAAACACTAGTAACTTTTAGTCTCACAAAGGACATTAGCATTTCAAAGGTCCTACAGTAAAGAACCTATGGGTTAACCTCGTGCTTCCCAGACTAAACAGCGCACCCCCTTCTTTATCCCTTCCCCTCATTTTTAAGAATACCTATTATCATCCCACAACACTTCTGAAATGTGTAAACATACAAATTCCAAATGAGTTCTTTAATTCTCATTAGCTCCTGAGATTATCCAGTGACTTTATTTTCTACTCTGTACACAGCAATGGGCAATTTCATTGTCAAAAGGTATGAAGGATACTTGTAACAGGGTAGGAATTGACAAAGATGAGTGAATACAGCAGGTAGTGGCAGCTGTCCTCTAGCAAAGCTTGGGCCAGGAATGCTCTGCTTAACTGGAAGTGCGGTAATCTTTGGTGCAGCCTCAGAGCACTGGTAAGAGCATTTGCCAGCAAAGCGCGTTGATAAAAGCTTGCTGCTTCGTGCAACCTGCAAATTACCAGAGGAGAGGTTATCATGAGACATAAACAACTACCATGCCTCTTCCTCCTTTGTGAATTGCATCATAATTGTACAACACCTAAATCTATTACTTAATTATAAACAGAAAAAAATTACACCGGTGTGGCTGGGTGGCTGAGTTTTGACCTATGAACCAAGAGGTTTCGGTTCAAGTCCCCATCAGGGCACATGCCCAGGTTTCAGACTCGATCCCCAAGGTGTGTGTGCGTGTGCGTGTGCGTGTGTGTGTGCAGGAGGCAGCAGATTGATGATTCTCTCTCATCATTGATATTTCTCTCTCTCTCCCTCTCTGAAATCAATAAAAATACATTTTTTCCTTTTACTAGAATCCATTAGAAGCATCATTTTATATATATGCCCAACTGAATTTTACAAAGCAGCCATTTTTCCTATTAAGTAAAAAATGCAAAAAAATTTTCTCATTTCCACACATCTATTTTCTCTCAGATTTCAATGTGATGTCAGTTTCCACATAGTACATAATATAAAATATTCCTCCTGTTAGTAACACTAGGTTATTAGTGCCTTAAAAATAAGACTTGTCTTTTATTTGTCCCTGAATCCCTTGCAGTTTAGCAAGTCTTGCACTTAAAAGATATTCCATAAAAACTGACTGAACAACTGAATAACAAAGACAGAAATAGATATAATACATACCCAAGAAGAGGCAGAACAAACAAAGCAGAACAGTACACTGTGAACAGGCGAGAAAGCCACATTGCTGTGTCCAGTTTATTGGTCATCATGAATTGCTGAATTTAAAAAGAAAAATATTGTAGTAAACTAAGGCTGCAAAATGTTTTTAAAGATGAAAATTATGTAGTTTTATTCCTATTCAAAATCTTTGAACAATTCTATAATACATTTTTTTAAGATCATTAGGTGAAGCCTCTTAAAGCAATCACTTCACTTTACAAGTCTGAACACCCTACTGTTTTGATGTGGTAAGCACAGAAAGTACTTAAGTAGGAAAATACCAGTAGACATATAAAAAATAAAGAGACTAATCAGGAGCCCCGCCGGTGTGGCTCAGTGGCTGAGCGTTGTTCCATGCAGCAAGAGGTGGCTGGTTCGATTCCCTGTGGTCAGAGCACATGCCCTGGTTGTGGGCTCAATCCTCAGTAGAGGGGTGCATAGTAGGCAGCCAATTGATGTCTCCCTCTCCCATCGATGTTTCTCTCTCCCTCTCCCTTTCTCTCTAAAATCGATTTAAAAAAAGACTAATTAGGAAAGAAAAATTTGTTCAGAGATTTAACTACAGCTGTCTGTATTCCTGACTTCATCTATTTTAAGACTGTTAAATAAGAACTGCTCTCAAGAGAACCAGAATGCCTATTCTTACAAAAATCTCAAATTGAAATAGCTAGGTCTCAGATCTGAATAAAAACGTATACAAAGCTAGTCTGGATTAAGTAAACCTTACAATGTAGAAATGTAAAACATGCTAACAGTAAATCACTACTGAACTCAGCCTGAGGGTGACTTGCCGATGTACACACAAGGGCATGACATACTCTAAGTCAGAGGTTCTCAACCTGTGGGTCTCGACCCCTTTGGGGGTTGAATGACCTTTTCACAGGGGTCGCCTAAGACCATCGGAAAACACATATATAATTACATATTGTTTACAGTAGCAAAATTACAGTTATGAAGTAGCAACGAAAATAATTTTATGGTTGGGGGTCACCACAACATGAGGAACTGTATTAAAGGGTCGCAGCATTAGGAAGGTTGAGAACCACTGCTCTAGGTGCTCAAAATATAGCTGTCTGGTGTTAAACAGCACCTGCCTCTTCGATTTTATAACTTGCTCATCCCTAGGAAGCTTCCCTACCGGTCTTACCCTGGTTTCAGTGGCTCTAGATTAAACTTCTATATATCATTTTCTTCTCTGTTTTTTTTCTCATTCTCTGTTCTTGCTGCTTTTTGCAAATAGATGTGCCCTTCAATAACTTGGAATCTCTTTTTACATTGAAAAATCAACTTGTATTCAAATTCTAAAGTGGCTTTCAAATTTTTGATAGGATCTACATAAGTAATTTTTACATTAAGATCCAACACAAATGTGTGAATATATAAAAAAAAGTTTCACAAAACAATACTTACCCATACTATGTGTGATGGATTTTGGTATTTTGCTTTCTAGTTAATGTTTTAGAAATACGTAAGTGTTGCCCAGTCAGTGTGGCTCACTGGTTGAGTGTCAACCCATGAACGGGGAGGTCATGGTTCAATTCCCAGTCAGGGTACATGTCCAGGGTTGCGAGCTAGATCCCCAGTAGGGGGTGTGCAGAAGGTAGCCGATCAATGATTCTCTCTCATCACTGATGTTTCCATTTCTCTCTCCCTCTCCCTTACTCTCTCTGAAATCAATAAAAACATTAAAAAATTAAAGACTTAAAGTGTTTCCATGACACTGACTTCAAAACTCACTAATGCACCTTAACCTGGAGTCTGAAACACTAGTCTAAGCAATCCTATATAACAAAAGCCTAATAATGCTAAGTGTCCAGTCATCCGTTCAACCAATTAAAGCACAATATGCTAATGATATGCTAAGGCCACTCAACCACTAGCTATGATGTGCACTGACCACCAGGGGGCAGACAGTTGACTGGTAGACCAGTCACTATGATGTGCACTGACCACCAGGGGGCAGACGCTCCAACTGGTAGGTTAGCTTGCTGCTGGGGTCTGGCCAAAAAGGACTGAGTGAGACTGAGTGAGATTGGCCGGACACGCCCTGAAGCCCTCCTGTGGTCCCTCCCCAGCTGGCCAACCTCCTGTGTCTCTCCCCAGCCCGATCATGCACCGGTGGGGTGCCTTGGCCTGGCTTGCACCCTCTCGCAATCTGGGACCCCTTAGGGGATGTTAGAGAGCAGGTTTTGGCTTGATCCTGCAGGCCAGGCTGAGGGACCTCACTGGTGCATGAATTCATGCACTGGTCCTCTAGTCTAATATAATTATCTTTTACAAGAAGATATAGTAAAAAACTTTTAGAAAAAATGCAAGTACATGTTAAAATTCAAGGACGTTTTATTGCATGTCTTTTTTTTTTTTTTTACTTCTTTTGCCATTTTCAGGGACCTTAATGACTTCAATGTCTTTAAGGCTCGTAACATGGCTTACCTATTGCCGGCTTTCTCTAAATTTTTGCAGAACACATTCAGGTAAACAGACTTATTGGCTGGCTTTGCATGTCTTTTAAACAGTATATGCCAGTAACTTTGGAAATATGCCTCTAGTTTATTCTATCCAACTATACTGTTGACACCATTAAGTTTAAATGACCACCAGTAGCCAAGTGAAAGGATGAATCTAACTCACTATGCTGCTTCTATACTAATATTCAGATTCTACGAATGTTCTAATTTTAGAACATTTTCTTAAAACCTATTTGTGTTTAGGGTGTTCACTTTGTGATAAATCATTGAGCTATGCATTCCATTTTGTTCATTTTTTATGTGTGGGTAACCTTATTACACAACAAAGATTTAAAAAGGTGTATTGGTTTAAATTTTAAGAGTGAACTGCCCAATCATGTTATAAATAGTTCAGGCAAAAAATATCAATGGATCTTTGAGTGAAAAAGTATTAAGGTGAAAAAGTATTCACAGAGTGTCAAACTACTATGTCATCGACTACTTTAAAAAAAATTTTTTTTTCCATTGATTTTCAGAGGGAGAGGACAGGAGAGGGAAAGA